TTTTTTTAAAAAAATAAACAAAGAATAAATGTGACATGTTTTCTTTCTGTAGCAATAATACCCAAGACTTGGATGACTTTCACAAAGTAAATCTACTAAGGTAGGACCTTTTGTTAATTCCACTACTTCTTCTTCGAGAGATGTCCCTGTGGGTGCTCCACTCCAGGTGTTGGTGTGTCCCTGCGCCTTCGCTGGGAGATTTTTGCAACAGTACTCGTACTGGCCACACACGCACAGAGCCTGCCCCCCTGCTCTGAATATACCTTAATAGTACGCATGCGCGGCCGGTCTCCTCAGTTCCTTCTCTACCATCCCCAGCCTGAGACGGAGCTCAGCAGACTCGTTAAGAGCTTTCTTCCTCTTGTTACAATTACCCTTCTAGTTAGTTAGTTTGTTGTTAGTTTGTTGTTAGTCGTAGTTGGTTACCATTTTCTATCTTTTTCTTTAATTAAAAAAAAAAATTTTTTTTCTTCCTTCCTGTCAGCCGCAGCCGCTTCGAACATGCCTGGCTTCCCGGCCTTTAAGCGCTGCTCTACCTGTAAGAAGCCAACCCCTCTGTCAGATGGCCACTCAAAATGTATAAAATGTCTGGGGGAGACCCACATCCCCCAAAAATGTGCCCACTGCAGTAAACTTAGCTCCAGGGCACAGAAGGACAGGGAACTTCGACTAAAACTGCTCCTCCTTCAGAAATCCCTAGAGTCGGCTTCAGACCCAGGCGCTGATTCCGGCTCTGCTGCCCACCACAGCCCCCCCGCCTGAAAGAACCATAAGAAAACTTCAAAAAAAGGGCACCTTCTGTCATCCACAAAGGAAACCCTGCGGGATAAGACTTCTCCGGGCAGGTCTACCACTTCCCTCCCGGTGCTCCCTCGCTTGAGCACGTTTGACACGCTGGGCTCCTCCAGCACCGGGCAAAACCCGCCTGCAGCTGCGGCGGCGGCGCGAAGATCCGGTGCCGAGGCTTCAGGCTTCCAGCTGCCTGCCTCTCTTCTGGCACCGTTCGGCACCGCGACGGACGCGGTGCCGACATATCACGACCTGCCTGACCCCCCCCACAGGCTGATATTGATCTCCCGGCACCGGCTCTGGCACCGACACCCGCCGAGCTGACTGGCAGTGAGTCAAGGCTCAAAACACCGGTGCAGAGGAATTTTTCCTCACAGCAGATTCCTCCCGAACAGCGTTTACCTCACACAGGAGCCTCGGCACTGCGGTTTACTCAGTCAAGGGACCTGCTCGTGTCACCTATCCTGCAGTCACCCCCGCTGAATGCCTGCTTCTCTCCAATGGCTGAATCAGGGTCTGGACAGCCTTCCTCCAGTGAGAAGGAAGCTGGACCGCAGGGGGATTTTTCACCATATCAAGGTTCCCATCCTCAGATCCCACTCAACAGAGGTCATAGAAAAATTACCTCATCCTACTCTCAGGATTCTGCCCCGTGGTGTGTGTGAATCCCTGCATGGCACCACCTATGCCCTTCCCACTGCCGTGGCAATATTGGGTCCCATGGGCATCGTATCCTCAAGAACACACTCGCTACTCCACCACAACCAGGCGCAACACCTGCCTAGCGCCACAAGCTGACGAACCTGCCACCAACGCAAGACACCAGGCAGCACCGTCACAATTGCAGGATCAATCACGTCCTGCTCCTATTCCAGTAGACCTGGAGGTAACGCCTGAAGAAGCCTTACTTCCCCCTCCCCCAACATCTTCGGATGACTTCTCAAAATTTCAAGACCTTCTTTTTAAAAAGACTTGGAGGTCCCTGAACAACAGCATGAGTTAACGGACATCCTACAGCCCTCTTCTTCCTCTAGGGTTCCATTATCAATCAACGCAGCCCTTTTAGAACCTGCTAAGGCCATCTGGCAGACTCGCGCTACAAGCCTACCTACCTGTAAACAAGCGGATCGCAAGTACTTCATCCCTTCTAAGGGCTCTGAATTCCATTTTATCCATCTAGCGCTAAACTCGTTGGTCATAGACACAGCCAACCAAAGGACCAAACAGCAGTATTCCCGCTCCATGCCATCCAACAAAGACAGTAAATGCTTGGACCTCCTTGGACATAAAGTATATGCATCTTCAACGCTACAATTTCATATTGCTAATTATACTGCAGTTCTCGCAAAATATGACCACAGAAACTATACCACATTCATGGACTTTATTGATGACATTCCAGAAGAAAAGAAGCAACAATTCACAGCTTTAGTTTCTGAGGGACCAATCATACCACGTACCGCTCTTCAAGCAGCCCTCGATGCAGCCAATACTGCAGCAAGATCCACCACCGCAGCAGTGGTCATGCGCCGAGGTTCATGGCTCTCATCCTCTTCCTTTCCTCAAGAGGTCCAGAGTACCATTGAAGATCTTCCCTTTGACGGTGACAAACCCTTTGCTTCCACCACGAACGACGTACTTCATTCAATGAAGGACTCAAGGGCAAGCGTCGTCGTCCCGATTCTTCGGTAACACCTCAACCCCCTCCAACTAATAAGCAGATTTGTACCTATTTTTGGACACTGCCTACGACCATTCTCCCATCAATGGCAGAGCATTACCACCGACAAGTGGGTTATAGAGGTCGTCACAATTGGCTACTCTATTCCCACCCTCCCCGTCCCTCTTCAGGGACCCCTCTCACGAGCCACTGCTCTTCCAAGAAGTACAACATCTCCTTCAGTTCGGAGCAGTGGAACTTGTGCCCGAACGACACAGAGGGAAGGGCTTTTATTCCCATTATTTCTTAACAGAAAAGAAAACTGGGGGATGGCGACCGATCCTCGACTTCAGGCAGCTCAACAAATTTATGAAAAAGCAAAAGTTCAAGATGGTTACTCTCACCACCCTAATTCCAGCGCTGGAGCAGGGCGATTGGTTTTCAGTCCTCGACCTACAGGACGCCTATTTTCATGTGACTATACATGCAGCCCACAGACGATTCCTTCGTTTTACCCTTGGCTCAACACATTTTCAATACAGGGTTCTACCCTTCGGTCTTTCCACTGCCCCCCGTGTTTTTTTCCAAGCTCCTAGCCATAGTCACTGCCTGCCTCAGGAAACAAGGGGTCATAATATTTCCTTACCTCGACGATTGCCTCCTCAAAGCTTCAACGTTCGACGAAACTCTCCGATTCACGCGACTCACCATCAATTGTTTCCTATCTCTCGGCCTACAAATAAACAAAAACAAATTCACATTATGTCCCACCCAACACCTGGAGTTCATAGGAGCAGACCTCGATTCCTGGACGGGATTGGCATCTCTCCCACCCGTCTGCTTCAACACCATAAAACTACTGGCCATAAAACTTCGCAACAGCCCCCAGGTCACTGCCCAAGACTGCCTACAACTACTATGTCACATGGCCTTGTGCACTTTCGTGGTCCAAAATGCACGACTGTCCATGAGATGCTTCCAAGCTTGGTTGGCCACCGGTTTACAGACCAAATGTGCAAGGTCTAAACAAGCCTCTCTCCATACCTTTTGGAGTCAGACTCTCTACTATGGTAGACCGTTCCCTCCAACCTCTGTTCGGGAGTCCCCTTTCTCCAGGATGCTCCATCCCTCATAATGACTACCGATGCATCCCTCACAGGATGGGGCGCACACATGTCTCACCACACAGTCCAGGGGCTATGGTCTTCAACCGAAACCTCCCTGCACATAAATGTCCTAGAACTTCGAGCCATACGCAATGCCTGCCGTCACTTCCTCCCACTAGTCAGGAATCAACATGTACGCATAATGACAGACAACATTGCCTGCATGTTCTATGTAAACAGGCAGGGAGGAGCTCGCTCTCACTCGCTTTGCACAGAGGCTATGAAGCTCTGGAATTGGTGCCTTGTGAAGAACATCCGGATATCAGCTGCCTATCTTCCCGGAGTTAGGAATACCACAGCGGACGAATTAAGCAGACGCTTTCCTTGGGATCACGAATGGGAGATAAACGAGACAATCATCCGCAACATATTCCACATTTGGGGTCACCCAACCATAGACCTTTTTGCAACTGCGAAAAACACGAAACGTCCCGAATTTTGCTCCAGAGCGGGACTGGGCAAACATTCCCTGGGAGACGCATTCATGGTCCCCTGGCACCGGAACGTACTCTATGCTTTCCCCCCCAATACTGGTTCTCCACAGAGTTCTGACAACGATACAAACAGATTGTGCCATGGTGATCCTGATTGTCCCGGTGAGGGCCCAGACAACCGTGGTTTCCGTTCCTCACCAGAATGTCAATTTGACCACCAATTTCGTTGCCTCTCACTCCGAACCTCCTATCACAGCAACACGGCCGATTTCTTCACCCTAATCTATCCATGCTTCACCTTAAAGCCTGGTTCTTACATGGTTCTCCCAAAATGAACTAGCTTGCTCTGACCAAGTTCAAAGAGTGCTCCTACATAGCAGAACACAATCTACTCGCACCACCTATCTATGAAAGTGGAAGCGATTCACACAAGGGTGTTCAGCTAAACAACTTTCTCCCACGTCGATACCTCTCCCGCTCATACTTGACTACCTATTGGACCTTAAGCAATCTGGCCTTTCTTTCAGCTCCATCAGAGTCCATTTAGCTGCTATTACAACCTTTCATGACGGAATCAACGATAACTCTGGTTTTGCTCATCCAATCACCAAGCGTTTCCTCAAGGAACTCCAAGCCCTATACCCAGACATTAAACCGCCTACCACTCCGTGGGACCTTCATTTAGTACTATCCTGCCTAACTCAACAACCATTTGAGCCTCTAGCCGCTTGCTGTTTTCATCGAAAGGTGTAAAAGGGAGCATTTTTAGTGGCAATTACCTCTGCCAGACGGGCAGGAGAAATAGCAGTTCTTATGGCAGATCCACCATATACGCTATTTTTCAAGGACAAGGTTACCCTTAGATTACACCCCAAATTTTTCCAAAGGTGCATTCCTCATTCCACATTAATGAGCCGATACACCTACCGACCTTCTTTCCGAAACCACATGCAAACTCTTTCGAAGTCACAATGCATACATTAGATGTACGCAGGGCCTTGTCCTTCTATTTGAATAGAACCAAACCTTTTAGAAGCTCTTCTAGACTTTTTGTCTCCATCGCAGACCGTTCCAAAGGGATGCCTATTTCTACCCAGAGACTTTCAAACTGGATTTCTGAGTGCATCCGATTGTGCTATCGGATAAAGAAAGTTACACCTCCAGCCGGCATCAGAACTCACTCCACTAGATCTGTGGCTACCTCTGTGGCTTTCTTATGCAAAGTTCCCCTGGCTGACATCTGTAAAGCTGCCACTTGGCATGAAGGGTTTGTCACCGTCAAAGGGAAGATCTTCATAACCATGATTATGAATCATCAATACAGCATGATGACACTGAGATTTAGACAAGCTCAGATGTTACTGATCTTTGAAAGCTCTCAGTGGTGATCTCATGGATTCCTCTCCCCTCTAAGGATGTTCACATTGCTTGGTTTACACCAGTCTGCACCTCAATTCTGACCTCCAGGAAGTTCTACTATTCAAGTTCTGAGCCCCACACACAGCTCTATCAATGTTCCGCATTCCCGACCTGCAAAACTTTTCTACCCCATCCTGTATGCTCCCACCACTTTGCTAATGCACCTCATTCCTGACTTTTAATATCTTCCTCTGAGCCTCGCAGGAGCATAGATTGTCAGTCAAGCCACACTGCATAGAGGTTTTGTGATGTGAACCAACATTAGGGACTAGAGAGAGACCACTAAATTTATGTTCATATGTGACCTAACCCAGGATTTAAACTCAAGTCACCAGCGGTACAGTAAAACCCTTTCCTTTGGAGTTCTGAGTATGGGTCACTGAGTTCTCAATGGAGCTGATTGGTGGGAATCTTTTATTTGTCTGTAAACTCGAAAAGGATTGTTTTTTTTTTTTTTAAAGAGCTATGGAAATCTTTCCTTACCTTGAAATCATTTTTTGTTTTCATACTATTCTTTTAGGATGATTTACACAAAACCACAGATTCTAAAGCCATCGTAAGTAAAACTAAAAATAAGTGTTTTGTTACATCCAAGATGATATAACTAAAGTTAATTGACTAAAATATGACCAAGAAACTTCCTTAAGGATTTGAACTTGTCTTGCGCTGTGTTAACTTAGGCATACAAAATCTCAGAAACACTTGGGTCTTTATATAAAGTACAAGCCAGAATGTTTTGTTCAGTTACAAACCTCAGACATGCTGGGCAGATGCTAGTGCAGTGCAAACATTAATTAGTTGATAGATCCCAGTAACCTGCTACATTATATAGCCTTAGTGCAACATGTCTTGTGACTTCATGGAGTTGTATATTCTTTAAAGCTGTTAGTTGTCTGTTTTTGAACTTTAACACATGGCTCTGGTAGTGTCTTTCTATACGTAGGGAAGGCAACTGCCTCCGTGTTTCTTACTTCTACAGTGTGATTCTAAAGAAAACTTCCTCTTCCACAGGAGAAGTGACGTCCTTACGATGACTCTATGGTTTGCTCCAATAGTTTGGGAAGGGACCTATAACTCCGAGATCCTGAATGAGCAGTTCCGACAAAGGAATGTCACTGTTGGACTGACAGTGTTTGCTATCAAAAAGTGAGTCTGAACTATGTTAGGTACAAAAGGTGATGTATAACCAACGAGGAGGTGGGGAAACCAATTTTTTGTGTGTAGTGATAGTGTATGGTATCCCCTGTTCACCTCCCTCTCCCAAGCAGGAGTTTTGTTGGAAGATTGCTGATTGTCTTAAAACGCATTTCAGTGACAGGGAAAGGACAGGGCTTTTCCAGTGTGGTGGAGGAGGAAATTAGGAGAGTCTGACAGCTGTGAGAAAGGGTCAGATTAAGCTGCTTGTCATGTGTATCAGAGGGAGGGGGACTGGAGGGATTGGCAACTATGGAAGTTGAGTGATGTACATTCCTCTTTTCCCTTTGCTCTGGGAACAAAGTTTTTGACCTTAGGCGCTGCTGACTTCACGACAGGTGGTTTTCTATCTTCTCTCTACACCATTATCATTCTACTTGGGGTGGAATATTTAGAAATACAATCACATAACTGGGCACAGAGAGACATCCTTCAAGAGTCCTTCTTACAAAGGAAGAACTTGACTTTCATGCTGAGCAGCGCTTTATCTGATTTGTAAATGAAGGAAAATACCTAGCGTGGTTTGTGACATACCCAGCTATGCAAGCACAGATTAAGGAACTATTTAATAACATTGTTTTCCAAAGGCTGTGCCTGCTACAACGAAGCCCTTGTTAGTCATGGAGCATAGGTTCAACCACTGGTTATAAGCGCTATTGCCTGCCAACAGAATTTTTTTTCAAAATGTATTGCTAAAGGTCAAAAGGACTCCAGATCAAAGTATAGTAAAAGATCATGATTATTTTTCTATTATGATCCTGTTAAGAATGGACAAGTAGGTTTTTGTACCTGTGCTGATAAATATTTATAACAGTTTTGCAAGGCTGATTTGGCCACCAGTGAGATGCAGCAACTGTTCAATGTCGTACATCAATGAGACACAACAAATAGGATAGGAAGCAAAGAATAGCAGATCCATTTTGAAAATATAGGGCCAATTTGGGAAGGAGGGATGAAAGAACTGAAGTTTGAATTTGTGGAGGATACTGGGTAGGATACTCCTACTCCTGTGAAAAGTTTAATGGGATTGATAATGATTACATGTAATCAGGACTTTGAAAGACAAAACCCCAAGCAACATAACACTCCCCTAACGTTATGCTGGCACAATGGTTTGTAACTTCCCCAGAATCAATATGAATTAGGGTCTCTTCCCAATAATATCTTGGGGATAAGGTGCATATTTATGCCCTTCTTTTGGGGAGGGGGAGTTGCTAAAGGATTCCTGAAGCACCTTCATGTTTTTGTGTTCCGAGAAATGGGCTTAATTAAGAATGCTTAGCTTTGAATCAGAAATCAATATCTTCAAGCAAGGCTAAATATGTTGAATGAAAAATTACAATCTTCGCTCTATGATGTATATCTGTTTACTGTATAAAGGGCAGCCAAACAAGGACAAAGATCAGTAGGATGTTTCTCATTCACTAGTACTGGGTTCTAAAGGGGCTAGGCATATATACAACAAATGAGGTTGATGTTAATTTCTAACAGTGTATAGTGTACAACTCCCATGTTGATCCCTCCCATAGTGAAATGAAGGGGGCGTGGAT